CCTACACAAACAAATTGTCGATAAAACTCCAAAATGGCATTTTCTTTTGACCCTATATTTTCTTCCTCCTCTTCAGTGAGGCAAGACAAGAAAATTTCGGGGTAACAAACGTTCGCAAGAATTTCGCTTAAATTCGAACCCATAGCTGATGATAGAACTAGAATAGATATTTTATGTTTCCTACTTACACGAGCCCATATCCTTGCTTTTCTATCCATTTTTAACTCTAATCTTCCTCCCCAATCTGATATTATTGTGGCAGTATAGACTGAAATTCCATTATGGTCCAATTTTGACTGATAATAGATATCGGGGCTTTGCAATATTTGATTGACTACAATTCTGTATATTCCATTTACTATAAAAGTTCCCAGGGAATTCGTTAGAGGAATGTTTCCAATAAAAATAATTTGTTCTTGGATATCCAAACTGTTTTTCCAAATTAATCCCGAGGATATATATAATTTAGAGGAATATGTAAGTAATTCATATACAACATCTTTTTATTTTATTGAGGGTTCGACCAATTGATATGTTTCCGCAAATGACTGAAATTCCATTTCTTGATCTGGATCTTCAATTTTTAGAAACTTTAAAAGTTCTCCTGTTAAGCCCCGATCAATGAATCTACAAAGTCCTTCAAATTGTGTTTGATTCAATCCGGGTAGTGTAGACATTCCTTCATTCCCAACCCCAAGCATTTTTTATTCCCCCCCTTTTTTATAGAAAATAGCCCATTATTTGCTGTCATTCTTCATCGAATCACATGAATAGAATAGATTTAGCAATAATGGAATTTCTATTCTTTTTACTTTACTGAATCACATGAAATTTTACCGAACTACGACTATGAAATACCGATTATGAAAAGAGGAAATTGGATACTCTAATTAGAATTTGAAACAAAACAAACAAATAGAATTGAACTTGTAATATCAATGGAAACAAATTGATCCATTTCACCTAGACTTCGGGTCGGGGTATTTTTAACAATCTAAAAAAAATGAATTCTATTTGTACTATTAGTATAGTATGATATTCCACATTCCCATTCGATTGATATCCCAAAAATAAATTCAGGATTTGCTCGGCTCCATGAGAGAAAGATATCAAAAATAAAATAATCAGAAAAAAAACACCATTTTTTTTAGCACTTTACCATTTAAAGTGTTCAAGAAAGAATAAGAATTCACAAAGAAGAGAGATATTTTGACCCTTTATTTTAGAATTGGAGGTTTGCAGTGCATAAAAAGACTTGGCATAGATCTAACTTCAACTATAGCTATCTATATATGTCTCTTACGTTATTGCAGGCCTATTTGTTCGAGACAACATATGTTGTGTTAATTTTTCTATTCATTCATCAATCTATTTAATGAAAAATTGGCAAAATAATGAAAGTACGAGAATTTATTGAAAATTCCCTGTAATCTAGAATTGATCCCGATTAGATAATGTGTAACAATGAAAATGGATATTCTGGAGTTGACATATATTAACAGTTCTTCTTATAATGGAAATAGAGAAGGATTCTAAAAAATCAAGATTCCTGAATTCTTTCGGAATTTGTAATTAATGGTTGCTTGCTATTTGTCCCGAAATTTTTACTTTTCTTTTGTGACTGAAAAGGTATACGTTGGTTTTTTGGAGAGGAGGGATATTCTGATCCATTTTTTTTATCAGGTTTTTTGGCGGCATGGCCGAGTGGTAAGGCAGGGGACTGCAAATCCTTTTTCCCTAGTTCAAATTCGGGTGTCGCCTGATCGACAAGATAATGTATTCCGTTTTGTTCATACAAAAACTTTGTCTTTTTTCCATGTGGAAGCAAGGGAAAGCGTTCTTGTCTTGAGACTTGTTTGATTGATTCAAAATTCTACGCATTAAAATGCTTTCAATCTTTGCGTCTCGGATTCCATGAAAAATGAATTCGAGTAGTGAAATAAAAAGGAATAGATCAATCTTAAAGTCAAAGTCTTTTCACTCTACTATTGCTGTAGTGTCCGTCTACTGATTGGGTCTTGAATTAGATTGGATAAGTAGGACAGGGAATAGAATTCCATTTTTCGTTTCATTGGTGAAGCGATAGAAGAAAAACCTTCTATACAAACTTATGTCCAATATATGAACGCTTCTGCATTTTTTCCATATTTGTTAGCTTAATGAAATTGAATATTTCGATTTTTTTTAATAGTTCTAATTTGATATTAATATTTTTTTTACTATGAATTTCATTTAATGTAAAAAAAAAGACTTCTAGTAAGATTATGTTAGTATCATTAGTATCATTAGTATCAAAAAGGTTTGGTTCTACAGAATATTTGACTGCTAGAAAATAGATTCTAGAATTCCCAATTCTTACACACTATAATTATTATATATTATTGGGCCACCCAGAAGAAGTAAATCAACTAATTGCTTCTTTCTTTTATTTTTCTTTCAAGTTGAAAGAAAAAGTCTCGACAGATATTATCCAGAAAAAATGTTTTGAACCAATTAATGAAGTTCCTTTTTCATTAAGATCCCAAAAAAAGGAAATGGAATTTTTGGAAACATAGAATAAAGTTATCTATTGACTCAATTACCAAAGTATTCTGATTATGAATAACTCAACGGGACCCCCTCGAATTCATCAAAGAAAGAAAGAGTGGATCCTTGTTGAGTTCTTATGCTTTCATTTCGAAAACGAAATTCATCTGATTATGACAGGGATGATCCCAATCCAGAATATGAACCATAAAATAAAATACCAATT